CCCTCCACGGGCTCGTCGGAAGCAGGAGGAGGGGCTTTGGGCTTCCCCTTCCCTTTCGGGACGCCCTTTAGCAACGCCTTTTCAAGGAATTGTGGCACTTTTTCAAGTGCTGCCATGGCTCTGGATACGCCCCTGAATTTGTTGAAATGCAGTTGAACGGTCCAAAAAAAGCGGGACCAAACAAGAAATTCTGAATCAGACCTAACCCTTGCAATTGCTGTCTGCAATTTGCACGCATGTTTGACCTTGTCATGCCTTCATCCACCTTTCTGACTGTGCAAATAGAAATGGCAAGGGGCGGTTGCGAGTTTGGCAACGCTTTCTGACAACAAACAAGCACATTCATGTAGCAAACCATGGCAAACCCAAGAATAAACCTATCATTCGGGGATACTTTATACAGTGACATGTACCACCCATTTATGATGATTTTAGGTAGAATCTTTCGTTCAATCCATCAAACAACACATCATATTACTTAGCTAGTTTTCCGGTTACTTTTCGGGTAAAAAACTGCGAGAGGGTAGTCATTTTTGGCTCTCGGCGAGCCATTTTTGGTAGTGGTTCTAAGTTCTGATTACGGTGAACAGTTTCGCAAAACGTAAAAATATTATAAATTTTATCAATTTTACCCAAATCTGACCGGTGTGTTCCGGTGACTTTTTCGGGGTATGGCAAATTTCCAAAATCAGGTTCTAAGTTCCAGTCCGCCGGTATAATTCGTAAATATTCATTTCCGTCCTGTCAAGCACAGAGTTCGTTGCACGCACTATCTCGGTTATATGTACAGAAAGGCTTCTGTTCACAAGATATGTGGACAACAGATTCATTTTGTTTGACCACCGTTTTCGCTCCGCACTGCCCATGCGAGTGCTTTCCGATTGTTTCTTTTATCAAGCGCCGGTGGAGTTGGAAACCGTCCAAGATGGTACACTCCTTGGGTTCACCATTGACGTAGTGCAACGAACCGTAAGGTACCAAGTACCTCCACTATGGGAAATTCGTCATCTCCATTCTGCTGGCAGCATGCGTCTCCGCTTGTCCGGACTAAAGTCCCGTGCAACCTTAATTCGCAGATACACGTTTCCCAAAGAATTTGTCCGTGATGATCTCAACCAACTCATTCAGCTGTATGTACAGAAAGGGTTCTCCAAAACAGACTGCCAACGCGTCCTGTACAGAAGGCAGCTCAAGCATACCTAACCTTTTGGCTGTGGCAAAAAAAATATTTACTGACACGCTGATGAGGTTGCAAATGTTCCTCTGCGTTTTTTTTCACAAATCTCTTGATGATGTCTTCCATTCTCGCCTTTAAAGGAATACAAGCCCGGCTACGTGCCTTTTTGTGTGTGTCAAGCTCTGTACCGAAGAGTTCCTCACTTTTTGCGGCTGATTTCAACCAACTAGTTTTTTTTTAAAACTGCTTTCTTCCATAAATTATGGATACCATTGCACCTTAATTCACAGCAGGGGGCACAAGGACCTTTGGTGAGTCTTGTGCCAATGAAGACGCTCACCTTAGGTTGTGAAAACGTACCTGCATGATGCACCTGGATGACATACCCAATATGTTGGGGTCATAGCTGGTGGTCATATTCGTATCTGTTAGTACTTTATGGGATCAGGCTAACCCAAGAACCTGCATGCCGTCATTCAGTCATTTCATGATCACTTTTGATTGAGCCGTATTGGTTTCTCTTTTAAACAACCTGACATTCAAATGTCAACGGATAAGCTTGGCCTTTTTTAACTCGGTATGGCCGAGTGATGCCTTCAATCTACCATGAGGTAATCAGACTTTGCATTCATGAAAAGAGACCGTCTTTCATGACTTCGCAAGTGTGTGTGTCCGTGTGTGTGTCCGTGTGTGTGTCCGTGTGTGTGTCCGTGTGTGTGTCCGTGTGTCCGTGTGTCCGTGTGTCCGTGTGTCCGTGTGTGTGTGTCCGTGTGTGTGTCCGTGTGTGGTGTCCGTGTGGTCGTCCGTGTGTGTGTCCGTGTGTGTGTCCGTGTGGTTCCGGGTTGTGTGTCCGCGTGTGTGTGTCCGTGTGTGGTGTGTCCGTGTGTATATTTTGGGTTGTGCCCTGTTTTGTGTCCGTGGTTGTGTCCGTGCTGTTGGTCCCGTGTGGTGTCCGTCGTGTGTGTCCGTGTTGTTTCCTTTTGTGTCCCTGTGTGTGTTCCCATGTTGTGTGTCTGTTGTGTGTCTGTTGTGTGTCTGTTGTGTGTCTGTTGTGTGTCTGTGTGTCTCTGTGTGTCTGTGTGTGTCTGTGTGTGTCTGTGTGTGTCTGTGTGTGTCTGTGTGTGTCTGTGTGTGTCTGTGTGTGTCTGTGTGTGTCTGTGTGTGTCTGTGTCGTGTCTGTGTGTGTCTGTGTGTGTCTGTGTGTGTCTGTGTGTGTCTGTGTGTGTCTGTGTGTGTGTGGGTGGGGGGGGGTACGGTGTGGAGTTTCATAGAACTTGATTGTGCTCTGACAGCATTGTGCTCTCACAGCATTGTGCTCTCACAGCACTGGGGGAAAGCACTGACAGCACTGGGTGTGGGTGTGCTCTCACAGCACTGTTGCTCTTACAGCACTGCACGGTGATTCACTGATTCACCAATGCAGTATTATGGGGCCCTGCCTGTGCTCTTACAGCACTTGGGGTCCTACCTGTGCTCTTACAGCACTCTTTTACCTGGGGGTGTGCTCTTACAGCACAACAGGGGGGTGAATTCATGTTGCGTCATGGCATACAGCAATCAATAAACGGGGTGGCATGAAACAAAACATGCAATATTTTATATCATGACATATTACTACATTGCTTTTGAAAATCGTTTCAAGATCTGCCCAATGCCACTCCCAATGAATGCCTTGCCTCAATCCAGAGGCTGACGATCAATTGAATGCTGTAAGCCCACCAAAAGGCCACAGAAGAAACAACATGTTCACAATCACAAGGGTTGAATGGATTACAGTATGTAATACAAAGTATGTGTTGAGTTTAAAATGTGATTTGATATAATACTTATTTAAAGTTAAAGTATGATTTTTAACCACACAAATCCATAAACAAAGTGTCCTGGAAAGTGGTAGGGGGACACCTCTGTTTAAGTGGACTCATTTATAAATGGGTGGACTAAGCCCAGTTACTAACCACTTACTAAGTAAGATGATCCTCCAAGTAGTGACTCATCACATTTAGGGAGTAGAACGATTCTATATAGCATGCTATACCACTTAGTATCTTCATTCTAGTTGGTTTAATCCTTTTTTGGTTGATTAAACCATGAGTTCAATGCGAAAGTCATCTATATCAATAGTACAAAATCCTAGTATTCAGTTCTACCTATCCAGGACCCCTTTTAATGATTCGTTCACGGGTTCCCCGGGTTTCCAGCGAAATATGATCGGGCCAGTGCACTTTGTGGATACAATACCCTCTGGTAAACTAACATAGCTATGGAAAATCACCATTTTTAATGGGAAAATCCACTATTAATGGCCATTTTCAATAGCTACGTTAAATTACCAGAGGGTAATACTTCATCCTTGATGTTTTTGAATGGTGAATAATTGGATATTCGCTCAGCATGTGCCACTTGTTCAAAATAACCCAGTCAGTAACAAGCGTTAAATCCGGATTGACAAGTCACCCAAGTCTACAACGGAAGCTAGTAAGTGCTTATCCTCCAGTAATCAAACGCGGCAATGGGAAATCCCCAGAATTCCTCTTAAACTGTTTTAATGGGGGTATCAACCATAAACATAAATATATAATATGTAGTGGATGTTTAACATTCTTAAATTGCCATCTTTGACTCCCAAAGGGTATTCGTATTTAAAAAAAAACATGGGATATCCCCGGTCATTTCTATGGCTTATAATCTGGTTACGATTCCTGATGAAGTATCCCGGGATTGTTGGATATGTGTGTGTCGATGATCCGTGTAAAATGGTTGGCTTATTCCCAAGTTGAATGATGGTCGGCTTATATTCTCAAAATGGTTGGTTGTGTCTATCTATATATATATATGGGAATTGTATCACCCTGTTACTAAAACACTGCTTGGTGATGATGACGACTTTTATGAGATATCAGATATCCTCCGTCATTTCCATGGTTTCTTATCCAGCTACTAAACAATGTGAAAAATCCTATATTATCCCATCATTATCCCATTAAAACCCATGATAATCCCTACTGTTGATACGATATAGCTTACCCTCTAGTAAACTAACAGACATAGCTATGGAAAATCACCATTTTTAATGGGTAAATCAACTATGAATGGCCATGCTAAATTACCAGAGGGTATATGATGATTTGATGGTTAACACCCCACCTCTTTTTAGCCGCGTCAACACCTGGCTGCGAACTGGTTCGGGTCTGGTTTGTTGATAGCTGTTCCAACAATGGATTGTAGTGATTCCTGTTCAATAGGTTAGTAGAACCCCAATATAACTTATATATAAATACATAAACCAATGGCATCCAATTGCTTTTTGACACTGCTCTATCACTATGAAATTTTGATCTAATTTGATCCCATTGCCGATATCCAATAAGCACTGGTTATAATGATGAACTGTTTAACTATTTGTGTGATAATACAATATCATCCCATTATGATAATCATTAGATTGTTGGACTGCGGGTGAAGGGAAACACAGCCAACTTCTTAAAAGGGGGAAACACAGCCAATAATGCTTAATATCATCCAACAATTATGTTATATAGTATTATAATGTATTATATATAATGTATAAAAGAAAGTCTTAGCTCCAAAACTAGCTGCCCATGCAAAATAGGTTTTTTTTGAATACCCTTAGCTCGGAACACAGCTCCCGAGCTGTTCACTGGAGAATAGTCTCAAGATTCATCATGATTCATTTCTTAAATCTTTACAAATTCCTTACTATTGATGGTGAAATCCCAATTGTTCATAGCCAATACCTTATGAAATGGTGCATAATCATCATAATCTCCATTAATGCCCGATTTCTTATAGTTAATTCCCCATCTTAGTCCCAACTGTTAAAATGTTCCTTATAGTGACAGCGATTTGGTGCATCTTCCCCTTCAAAAAAGCGGATCCTCCAAGACTCCTGGACCACGACGTTGCCACCAAGCCTCCGCTGCGACGAAGCATGTGAATCTGAGGATGAATAAGCAAAATGGGGAAATGATTGGGATCTGATTGGGATCTAATTGGGATCTAACTGGGATCTAAGTGGGATAAAAGTGGCTTGCGGCACCAAGTCGTTGATGTTTACGAAGAAAATGGATCTGAACCAGCAAAAAAATCGCCATTGGGATGGGCCTTGGTCATCTGCTTTTTGCAGCTTCTGGTTCTGCATGTCCATCCAAATCATCGATGGTATCACTCAATAAATGTCCTATTAGATCTATATGGCCATGACTCAGATACCGATTTATTGGAGGTACTTAGCATACATAAGGCCTATTTTTTAGGGCTAAGTAAGGCGATATACCCCAAAAATATGGTGTAGGGTCCCGAATCTAAGGGTTTATTGAATGTGGAAGCCCTAGTTCCTTCAAAATTGTGGCCTACTCAGCTGTTGAGTCAATGATTCATTCATATTCATTCAGCCATAAAGATCTGGATTACATTGAAATCAATCTGGGTTAGAAACTGTACTCACAATTGAAAGATCTGGTTCTATCAATGAACAAATCGCTACTGCTTAAATACAAAGTTCTATCAGTATCCCTATGTCTCGTGTAGATCTGAAAAATATGGTCAAAACATCATCTATGTCTCTATATCTGGGTAAATTATAATATTTCACAAACCTGAATTAAGGCCATTTGGGGATGATTTCCCTTATTAACCATAGTTCCAGGGCTCGGTCGCAGTGAGGTCGTTATAATTTCCCCAGATATATATATATATATATATATATACACCATCCCGGAAACATTGTTTCATATTTTTGGGGGTTACTATACTCATTAAGACCATTTAAATCTCATCATTTCATGGCTGGTATATATGGGTTTGTCTGGAAATAGGCTACCTCTAAATCCATGGTTGAATCATAAGTTTTCCCTATGAAATTGCAATTTTATATACCCTCTGGTTATTTAACATAGCCATGGAAAATGACCCATTTATAGATGGTTTACCTATTAAAAATGGTGATTTCCCATGATTTTCCATGGCTATGTTAAATAACCAGATGGTAATCTTATAGGTATATCATGGTATAGCCCATTTTCAGACAGACCATGACAGACCCAGACGTCACCTTCCCAGGACTTGCCACCGCCTTCGATACGCCTCCATCGTCTTCTGACGACAAATCTCCGCGAAGCTGTCAGCTTGCACCTGATCTCCGGAGGTGATCAAAGGCGATGTCGATGTCGTCGACGAAAAAATGGAGGAGTGGATTTCAACCAAAACAGCGGTGAAATCACCATGGATTTCACTGATTTCACCAACAAAGATGAGATTTCACCAGAAATATGGATGATTTCACCATGGGAAAAAAGCCAGTTTGATGCGGATTGAACTAGCCAGAGTTTGGTGATTTCATCAACCAAAATGGTGCTTTACATAACTCCAAGACTCGGATGTGAGCAAGCAAAATGGGCTTGAAACCACTTGGCTGGTTGGTGGTGCAATAACCATCTTGAAAAATGATGGAGTGAGTTCGTCAATGGGGTTGGGATGACATCCCATTAAAATGAAATGGAAAATAAAAGCCATGTTTGAAACCACCCAGAAAATAGGAGTTTTGAGCCTCCAAGATGCTGAGAATCTGACTTGATGGGCCCATCACTGTGAGGCGCATACGACTTTCAGGTTTCTCAGGCGGAGATCATGACCAAAAGAATGGGCATCCAATGAACAATCAAATCTTTGCACATCTGAACTAGAGAAAATTGTTGGGTAAATAGGGTAAATATCATCACATGACTTTTCAATACTTTTCATCAAATGACCTTGTCTGGGTCCATGATCAAGCCCGAGCAAATAGAAATTCGATCTTTAGCTTCTCTTCATTTCTTCAGTCCCCAAATGGCTGGGGACCATCTCAACTGCTGAGGCAACAGCCCAAGAAGTGGTCTCCCCAAATATTTCTTCGATCTAATATATAATATAGACTTCAAGCTTTAGTTTCTGTTCATGTCAGTCTTCCCCAAATATTTCGAAGTTCGATTTTCCCACTTCCAACTCAAGTGCTTCCCTATTCTTGTCAGTGAAATCTATAGAATTCGTGATTTTTCCACCATTTTCCCTGATGTTTCCCATGTCCCTATCATTTTCCCATTTCGAGTCAGTGATTTCCCCAGCATTTTCCCATGTCCCACCTCCGTGAGCTCCAACGGACACATCTCGATGTCGTCCACCACGCCCCTGGCCGCGGGTTCCAAGACGATGCCTCGGTGGCGCATCGGTTTTTCCGCGAACGGATGCCAGGAGCTGCTCCTGCCAGTCAGCTTAGGCACAGAAAGTCCATTGTGGTTGATATATACTGTTAATAATGGTTAATATTATGATGGTTATATACTGATGGTTAATAATCTAGTTAATAAAACCATGGTACAATATATATATATATATATATGATCATTATTGATATATACTGTTAATATTCATGGTTATAAAAAATAATGATGGTTAATAATCTAGTTGGTGGTGCGTTTTAACCATCTTGAAAAATGATGAAGTGAGTTCGTCAATGGGGTTGGGATGACATCCCATTAAAATGAAATGGAAAATAATCCAGCCATGTTTGAAACCACCAACCAGACTTAGATGAGTTTAGATGAATTTAGAGTGCCAGACCGCACGAGGATTTCATATAGAAGATCAGAGAATAATATCACATGTATGATCTCTGGAACATCATCGACCAGTGTTTTTTAATTGATGGTCGATGGGAATATATAAATGGATATATATATATATGATTATATATGTATGTATGGATTGGATTGATGTCGAGTAAGCAAATATAAGCAAATAAAGCAAGAGAACAGTACACTCTAGTACAGGGTAAACCAACGCAAGAAACCAGAATCGACAATAGTTTCCCCTCTGGCGGTTTTGGATTTCATCCTCTCATGATGATCTGATGATAGTGTTGACCTATCACCATTTCTTCAACTCCATTATTTGCCGTTCACGTCTTCAAAACATGTTGCAGGAAAGCCGGAACCGGCGCTTCCCTCACGACGTCTCAGTACCAAGCTGCGCAAAAAGTCCAGTTTGCCCTGGTTGGTGGTAACAAATCTCAAGCGCATCACTGGTCGTCGCAACGCCGCAGCACCATGGCGTCGACAGTCCGTCGCGAATCCCAGGGCTTTGAAGCCCTAACTCAGGGACGAGTAGAATCCCAAATAATCACCAGTAATACCATGTAATACCAGTAGACTCAGTAGACTCCACCATTGTTGGCCAACAATCCAGAATCCCATGCCATCAGTGGAACAGCTGACCACTTCCATCTCTTCTCAGTGACTGTGGAGCCAAGAACAGCAGGGGACGACCGAAAAGACCTCCCAGTTGCCAAGATCTGTTTGCAAAATTTGGCTGCCATGCGATGATGGGCCTCTACCTTATGGATCCTTATGCTTCAAACATGTTCAGCTCCATTCTGTTACCCATGGACCCACGAATGACTGTCATGTTGAGTAACCTGAGACCGGGACAAATGCTGCATGATCACATGCATCCTGAGATGCCAAGGGTGTCCCATGGTGCTTGGGTGCTTGGAGCCACATGTACTAACCCGAACGCGAACGAATTGGTGGAGTTTCTACTTCCAGGACTTGTGGATGCTATGCCATGATGCCACCGGTTGTTCAAAAATGCCACCGGTTCTTGATCCTGGAAACCCCCTTGAAGGAATCCTTCAAGAATGCTAGGACTTTTGATCAGACATCAGGGGTCACAGGAATCTTTGGGGTGAGCAACACCTACATGGTGATGAATAGGAAACCAATCTTCCTGCTTCCTGCGGCATCAAAAACCGGGGCTGCTGTTCCACAGGGCGGCTATTCCCAGTCGTGATCTTCCTTCCGAAAAGGCCAAGTAGCAAGTGGCCCACGTCCTTGTTCTCTGAGGCTTGAATAATCTGCGAATTGATCCAGGGATGTGTACCTGGCGCCGCCAGGCGCGATGGCGCTCCGTTCCATCGATTTTTGTGTGTCTGAAAATAGAAAAAATGACCCCAAGCTATGGCGTGCTGCTAATGGGGAAAAAGACGAAAAAGCCCACTGTGGATGGTTGCGAAATCCTGCACCAGTTGGTAGACTTAGAGGGTTTATGTATCCCATTCAAATCCCATTATTTACAGTGTTTCACAGTTACCAATAGTTGCCAACTGGTGCAGGATTTTGATGGATTTTGTTCATCCACAGAATTTTCAGACAAACCTATCTCCAATTCTTGGGCCGCTCATGTTGGGGCGGTCCAATCGGATTCTTGGTACATCTTCCGACGAGTCCAATGCTTCCCAGGAACCTTCCCAGGGTCTATTTTTAGACCTCACTGCTATAGTAGCTATAGCCATTTTCATAGGGAACATGAGGTTCTAATCCATCGGAATTGGGGTTTTGGCCTATGAATTTGTTCGACCCAGCCATGTCTGCGGATATGTGCGGATTGAACCCCCACGATCTGGCAGCAACTGTGTTGGGGCCGGCACGATGATGTTCATATCGGAAACTGTTCTTTGCTGATTTAAAGAACTGATGAGGTGTAAAATGACCAGCATGATTTACATTGTTTTTAGGTCCCAAAAAAGAAAGCTGCTCATAGCTAGTCCCTATATACTATGTTGGTGTTGTTTGCGTTCCCATCTTTTTGGTCACTCCCTTATTTGGATCTGCCTATAGAAGGCTACTTTGTTTTTGAACAATCACACTAGATTCCTCAACTTGTGAATTCAAGCGAAAATCCATAAAAACAAGTTGTTAAACCCCTAACAAGGGTTGATGGTTTGCTGTGGGGTACTAGTACCCTATCAAAAACCGGCAAACTTCGATTTATCTGCCGAAGTTAACCCGGAAAGATTCAGAAAAGCTTCGATTTTTGTTCACACGAGTTTTTTCAACAGGATTTGCCATCTGGTACCCTCTGGTAAACATACAAAAAACTATTGAAAATTGCCATAGACATAGTTGTTTTTCCGATTAAAAATGGTGGATCGTTCCATAGTTTTTTGTATGTTTACCAGAGGGTATATACCAACATTTAAATCATGGTATACCAACATTTTCCATAGATATGCTGGGAGGGTAATCAACCATGGCTTGCTAAGCTTGCTAGGACACTCCCCAATGGATTTCTTGTGGCCTCCACGCCCGCCCTTGGCTTTTCGGCCGGCCGCACCCTGAGCCGCCACAATTGGACTTCGAAGAGCGAAATATGTCGAAGAAATAAAGAAACACCTGGGAAACTATATGGATAAGATATTAAATATGAATATATATATATATACATATATATTTATTATATATATATATAATTATATATATACATAATTATATATATACATAGAGACAAAATGAGACAAACTTATTGGAAGCCTGTGGAACAATACGGAACATGTATTTTCCAAAATTACGGGATCAAAAGAGGTATAGCCATGTATAGCCCGATTTTGAGAGAAGCCCATATCTGTTTGGTGGTTTTAACCCGTGCCACTAAAGTTTGTTGTCAACTCTGATCATCATCATCATCATCATCATCATCATCATCATCCCCATGTGTTGGGTGGAAACAAATGAACCACTAACTAGAATATATAAGATCATGTAAGTCGTTTTAAGCGGACATCATTTTGCAGAATGGGAATGAAACACACAAGCAGTAAGATGCAATGGGAAAATCTGAGGTGACCCTTAGGGTCATGCTACTTGCCATCAACCAGCAGCGCCAGCGGCTGCCCTGCCTTTCCTTTTCCTTTAGAACTGCCCATTGTCATCGACAAACTCGTTATCCTTGAAATCCTGCTGGGAGTCGCGTCTCATGGTTGGGTTGGAAATGTTGGAAGTCCTTCCAAAACCAAACAAACTGATCTCGCTACTTTTCTTGTGGGAAAAGGAATTTGAGATATCCATCATTTTCTGGACCAACCAATTTCTGGGGACAGGCGGCAGCTCACAACGGTTCCGTGGGCACTGGAGTACTGAAGGTGTGAAAGTTTCTTGATGGATTGAACACGTTGGAAATAACTTCACTCGTCGAAGCCTTCTGAAACTATCGACACCCAAACACCAGGCGTCCAGGCGATGACTTTGTCTTGGATGTGTGGATGAACTCAAGCTGCTTAAGAAAATCAAATTAGGGCTTCTCCCCCATTCTCAAACAAACATTCACAATCTTTGCCAATGCCCAAAATGTGAAAACGATCATGTCCTCATGATTTCCCAGTTTCCAGGTTCTTTTCTACATATTTGGGGGGTTATTTTTTTCAATTCATCATCTGAGCCATTAAAAATACCCCTATCCCATCTCATTATACTGGTTGATAGGTTTCCCTACTATGGGTTATCATGATCCCCAGTAAACCAGGTAGTATAATCCACTATAGCAATCAATTAACCAGGGTATTTTTAATGGCTCATCTTGGGGTCAGCACACCCCGCTGATCCCAGGCGCCGCACGCCTGAGGGATTCTGCTCGGGGCTGCAGCACGCATTGCCCGGCACCAAAATCGTCGTTAGATTCACTGAGCCGAAAATACAACAGGAAGGGATATATAGATTCATATCATGTTATATATAATATAAATATATATAAATAAATTCAGAAATACAATTTAACAGTGTGTATATAAAATAGCAATATTATACAAATTGTCTAAATTATATTATTCAGAACATCATCGAACCTCGGCGGAGCTGCTTAGCTGAACTCCCAGGAACTCCCAGGAACTCCGGTCGGACCGAAGTCGGGGACGTGGTGACGTGGTGGAAATGGGACAGGAGTTTTAACCAACGAAATAAAACATGGTGCTGCTATAAATCATGGGGAATATCTAAGTAGAAAATGGATCTAACATGATCTAACATGATCTAAAATCATTGAAACAAATTGAATTTCGATTGCTAGCCATGTCGAGGTTGAACCAAGGAAGTGGGAAGTTGTGAAGAGTGCGTCAATGCTGAAAATTCTAACAACAAAAAGGTCGGAACTGTGGTCGCTAAAAAAGAACTAAACTGGAATGGTCATGCAACTGAAGCCATTTTACAAGATCTTCAGGAAGATTTCAGCACTGAAAATCAAAGTCTTCAACAAATATCATTGATATCCTGTTCTGCGGGGTTCTTCCCCAGCATGTAGCACATTGGAAAACTAATGAAAACTGGAAAATCCCCAGATTCAACGGGCACGACATCTAAAGATATGGGATATGTATTCAATGCTTCTCCATTATCGTCCACCATTTTGATACAGCAATGTGCTTTTTACTCAATAGTTTTTACCATCCCCCATGACTCAATGGGTGGTATAGAGTGGTATAAACCCCTCACAATCGTAGAAGTTTATGGCACAAATTTCAGGCATGTCTGGCCCACCATGGTGCCGAAAAAAGTGCAGTGTGTGCGTCGCCCACGTTGCGCAGCGCTGACACATGGGCTGCATGTCTCAACTTCTGGTCAGGGTGGCTTGAATGTAGCTGTCGATGAGTGGTTTGAGTGTCAACCCACACATCAATGGATTGGTTTGCGAAAATATAGGGTTGAAACCATAAATGTGTTTATTAATGTTTATCATTATATTTGATTGTATTTGGAATGGTGGTCAATAAATCCTGTAAATTGTCCCTTCGCTTCTGGGAATATCAGGGAGGACCGTGTGAAAACATGTCTGTCTTGATCTGTCCACCAGGATTTTTCGAACAAACAAACTATCCGATAGATACCAACAATCCTGCGGTGGCTCATGTGGGAGATCATCAAGAATCGTTGGCTACAAATAATACAAAACGTCTGATAGTTACCAGGGAAAATCAAGTCTTGGCCAAAGATAAATGCAGACTTACCCTCTGGTTATGACTAACAGTTTGCCATGGGATAGATGACCAATAGAAATAGATGGTTTACCTAGCTATAAAATGGTGATTTTCCATGGCTATGTGAAATAACCAGATGGTAAGTCTGCGTGCAAATGGTTATGTGCATGCGTGAGTGTCTTTGCGATCCTTTGTGTGTACATCTGTACGTTTGAGAGCCAGTGCTGGCTGTTGAATGGACACATTAACCAATTAATTCTCTGATGAATCACATGGATTTGTCGGAAAATAAGCCAACCGCCCCCAGATTGAATCAATTTGATGTGTGATCATCATCGTCCCCATTCAAAC